GTTTCCAGTTTCTTCACATGCTATATGATGCGATACAACTCTTGTGAAGAAACCTGGTGGTTAAGGAACTAACAATTAAAAAAAATAAAGGAACACATGTGAAGCCCATTTCCCCCGTCATGATATTGCTTGAATATTGCTTTAAAACTAAACCCTCAGTCAGTCAGTCATGTGATATACCTTATACTTTATAACGAAAACACGGAAATTAGTTCGTTATATCCTTAGAGAAGCATTAAGTTAATTAAGTAAAACAGTTAAGCTATAGCCGTGTTCATATAGTTATTGAGATACTTATACCTCGTTTAATTTTATCAATACTCCAAATATGAATTGAATGTCTATTATCAGCTGTTTCTTTGTTCCCAGTTTATGACCATGGCTGCTATATGTTAAGCAAATCAACCATGAAATGTGAAATATGAGAATATGTTCTGTTTAGTGTTTATTGTATGTGTGATCTATATAGTCACTGGCCCATGTTTAATATATTGCTCAGAAGAAGCTAAAGGACACCTGATTCTTTTATATTGCTGGTGTATATTCTACAGGCCAGAGATACTATTTCAGCATATTTAGTGGGATATTGTTCACCAAACCCAGGTGTGGTACAAAAGTTTGGTAGCCCAGTTTTTTGGATGTCATCCTCAAAGGTGCAGGTTTCCATGGTGATGACTGGATGGTGTGGTAGGTTAGCGGTTATAGCATTTGCTCCTCACATATATTCCTGGGTTTGACTCTCCCCATGTGGAAAATGTGTGAACCCTCTTTTGTGTTTTACTGTCGTGATATTGCTCAAGTGATGTTAAATGATGCTAACTCACTCACTCACTCCATGGCGATGTGACACTGTGTGTCTCTTGATGTGAAACTGACACAAAATATATCCAAATAGTTTAAACTTCAATATTCCTGGTTGTTCATTTACTGAGTTAGATTCCTTAGATTCTGATTTTCAGTTTCTGCTAGTGTTGTTGACAATTTCCATTTGACATCAAGTTTGAAAAATGACCATTCACACACAGCAAACATGTTTTGGAAGTGATTAATTGAGTGTAAGGCATTATTTATGTCTGCGTGTTTCGATCGAAGGACTTCATTCCCAGTGGACTCTGATCACATATTCGGGAGGACTTCATTCTTTTGTGGCAGTCGGTGGAGGATCATTGATTCTTACCTCCAGCACCGAAGAGCAGCAAAGTTTGACACCTCGGGGATGAGGATTCACCTCAAGAGTTCAGATTCAAAGTCGGTCACTGAAAAAGCATCTTCTGATATTAATTACAAACATATACACATGGGATTTAAATTTGTTGTATTCTTGCTTCAGGAGTCAGATATTGAGGTTAAAATCTGCCGTAAGTCTTCATGGGGTCTTTTTTTTATCATATCATGAGGAATTCTCTGGGAAGAAGACCGAGAAAATGTCCCAGATTTGCTATTGATTGTTCAGCTAACCAAGACTGATGAGGCTCGTGGTGAGCGCCATTGTGGTCATGATTGATGCAGGCACCATCACAGGAAAGTGTTAGCGTGCAGCCCTCCAATCATCTGATGTGGGTACAGGTGGCACTGCAGTGTGGAGCTGCATCCTTGGTTGACTTGTAACTAAGCTGAATCTCAGTTTATTAGTGTGACTACAAAACCTTAGTGCCGGAGACAGAACTCATCAAGGAATGAAGTGTTAAATGGTGGTATGATTAGCTTGATAACTAGTTGTATGTAGTTGACAGTAAAGAGGACTTCTGTTGACAAGTTTGAGTGCGTGATTGAGTGAGTCTGATTTTATGCTACTTTTAACAATATTCCAGCAATATCAAGATGGGGGACACCAAAATGGGTTTCACACATTGTACCCATGTGGGGAATCGAACCTGGGTCTTCGGCGTGACAAGCCAAGACAAGTTTGAACATAATCTTTTGTGTAAATGCAGCCAAAATATAGAAATAATGGGGATGATGTAATATAGGTAGTACTGTTTGAAATATTAACAATGGTGCCTTCATGATGTTCCTAGGTTTGTCAACACCATTTCCTTTAGTCATGGGTTTAGCCAAAATGGTAAATATCTTAGTCATACGTCAGTTCAGACTTGAATCCCATATCAAAATAACACCTTGATTCATGTCTGCTTTAAACCCACTCTCTCATTCACTACCTAAGGCCAGACCAATTTTATTTCTTGTTTTATGGATTTTTGTCCTCAGAAAACCTAAAGGCAGGAGGGATTTTTTTATTTTTTAAATGACCAGTCAAAGTAATATTCCTTGTAAATACTAAAAGTGTTTTACTTTTGGCAATTTATGAAGTATATATGGGGCTAAAATCCCCCCAATTGTTTTTTTTAAGTTTACATTTTTGGCCAATAAAAACAATAGGATTTTATTTTTTGAGCAGGGAAAATTAATTTATATTTTTTTTCTAATTCTTGAAAAAATATGACCGGCAGATCTGTAAAACAAGAAATAAAATTGGTCTGGCCTAATGGTGAAACCAAAGTAGTTTACAAGAATGGTTAATCTTTCTTCCTGTGTAAGAGAATGGGTTTTTAGCAGTTGTGGACATTGTGGTCACGCTGTCTTTATTCTGATGCTAACAATATGCAGGGAACTGGATACAATTTGCCAGGCATTTTCTCATACTGTTATAGACTTCTTTTGTTGTTATTTCTTCAGTAATTACATTCTATTCATGGACAGTTGTAATCACAAGATCAATGAGGTTGTCTGTAGAGGCAGGTTTTAATGAGGCTTCTGTCACACTGGTTCAATCAATAATGACTTTTGTTCGACTATTACAACAATAATAGCATCTTGCTTTCATCATAAAAAAGCTCCCTCTTTTACAAGCCAGATGTGAAGTTAATGATTTCAGAGAGTTTGTAATGCAATGGTTTGATTGCGTTAAATGAGGCAAAATGGATATTATGAAAACATAGAGAGTGGTAGTTGTTTGATTTGATTAGATCTCTAATCTGGTGTGTACATATCAATGTCATTATCGATACAGAGCTGTATCTAGGCTGAAGGGGGGTGGTGGGGTAGCCTAGTGGTTAAAGTGTTCGCTCATCATGCCGAAGACCCAGGTTCAATTCCCAACATGGGTACAATGTGTGAAGCCTATTTCTGGTGTCCCCTGCCATGATATTGCTAGAATATTGCTAAAAGTGGCATGAAACCAACTCATTCACTCAAGGCTGAAGGGTTGGTATTGCAGGTCTAACGAAATTCCATTTATTGTTCACAAGTTTGTATAGGTAAGTGTCTCTTCCTTCAGATGATTACCTGTGGAAGTTGACAATGTGTTATAGGAGATGAATGAGACACCATGGAGGTGTGTGTTCTTTAGGCCCTGCCGGAAGGTGGTTTATTTTGGCTTTGATATTTAGAGGGCTGCCAGAATCAATCAATAAAAGATGCCTGCAGGTGGAGAATGTGGGAAGGTAACTTAGGTGGGCCATACTGGCTGGGGAATAATTCCCTTGGGCCATGTGGTTGGGGAATAACTGCCTTGGGCCATGTGGTTGGGGAATAACTGCCTTGGGCCATGTGGTTGGGGAATAATTCCCTAACTGCCATGTGGTTGGGGAATAACTGCCTTGGGCCATGTGGTTGGGGAATAACTGCCTTGGGCCATGTGGTTGGGGAATAACTGCCTTGGGCCATGTGGTTGGGGAATAACTGCCTTGGGCCATACTGGCTGGGGAATAATTCCCTTGGGCCATGTGGTTGGGGAATAACTGCCTTGGGCCATGTGGTTGGGGAATAACTGCCTTGGGCCATGTGGTTGGGGAATAACTGCCTTGGGCCTTGTGGTTGGGGAATAACTGCCTTGGGCCTTGTGGTTGGGGAATAACTGCCTTGGGACAGGTGTGCTGGGGGATACCTGCCTTGGGCCTTCTGGATTGGGGTATGAGTGCCTTAGGTGAAAATAATTCCATGGCCATCCAGTTAAGTCATCTATAAGGCCTTATATTTTTTCCCCAGAAATGGAAGAGATAAGGTTATGACATACAAGGTTGTCTGAATATTGCCATGTGGTTGGAATAACTGCCTTAAGATGGTATTGCACATAACTGCCTTGGAAGAGATACAATTATGACCATGAAATGGATGGAAGCATAAGTCTGTCCCTGAAATGGTTGATTATGACACATAAGGCTGTCCCTGTCCATTATGAAATGGAAGCAGTATGATTAAAACACATACGGTTGTCCCTGGAAGCAGTATGAATGGAATGAAATGGAAGCAGTATGATTATGACACATAAGGCTGTCCCTGAAATGGAAGCAATACAATTATGACACATAAGGCTGTCCCTGAAATGGAAGCAGTATGATTATGACACATAAGGCTGTCCCTGAAATGGAAGCAATACAATTATGACACATAAGGCTGTCCCTGAAATGGAAGCAGTATGATTATGACACATAAGGCTGTCCCTGAAATGGAAGCAGTACGATTATGACACATAAGGCTGTCCCTGAAATGGAAGCAATACGATTATGACACATCGGTTGTCCCAGAAATGGAAGTAGTGAGAATATGACACATGGTTTGTTCTGAGATGGAAGCAGTGATGTTGCGACATACACGGTTGTCCTTGAGATGGAAGCAGCGGGAATAGGACACATGAATCTGTCATTGAGATGGAGGCACTTTGATTATGACACATAGGTTGCAGGGGCGGATACAGCTGTTTGAGAAAGATGGTGGCACTCTTGATTATGAAAGGGATACAGCTGTTTGAGAAAGGGGGGTGCACACTCTTGAGAAAGGAGGGGTGCAAACTTCATTTTCACAAGAGTTTCAATGGTAATTTAATAAACTTTCAGGACTAAATTGGGGGCAGTGCACCCTGCATCCCCCTCGGGATCTGCCTATGGGTTGTCCCTGATTGTGACCCATAATTTGTTCCTGAGATGGAAGCGGTGAGATTTTAACACACAATTATTGCTGCAGTGCCGACATGAAGATAATGGTGTGGTTTTGTATTGCAGGTACAACACACATGGCATGGTGACAGTCGACACACAGCGCATTGAACAGGAACATGGCATCATCCAACATCACAGCAGCGGGAATACTTCCCTAACTACATTCCACAACTCATCACAGACCTCTGTTGGTATGTATACCAGTTTTATGCTAACTATGTATTGTAATTGTTTGCTTGTTGTTTAACAAACTCAGCAATATTCCAGCTATATCAGTAAAAGTGAACAAGATAAGTTTTATAAAAAGTGGATGTTATATCATGATTTTGCAAATTTTAAATGATTTTTTGAATTCTTTCTTCTTGTTCCCTAATGCAAAATATAGGCTGAATGGACTTGAACTTAAACTTACTGTAAATATTTGAAGCTTGTAAGTGTGATTGGTGAGTGAATGTGTTGTGGTGTCTGGTGTTGTTGTTTTGTGCTTTGTTAGAAAACAAATCCTGTTTTTCCTGTGATCAATGAACTAATGTGAAATATTCCAGCTATAAGGTGGTATGAATTGTACTGATACAGTATGTTATGGATATATTGTATGTATGTTTTCACATTATCATTATGAATTGCATCACAGCAGCTGCAATTATATGTGGACATTCCATTGTAAAATGTTATAGACAGAAGTTGTTAGGTAAATGTAATATTCATCCTAGAATTAGATATTGGTATGATGTTCTGGAAAGGAAATATGCCTTTGCCTTTGTGTATGCCTTCTGCCTCCAGTGTGGCCTGATACATTCACAAAAACCTGGCATCATCACTATTTCATAGTGATTCAGAAATGCACGCACAAGATGTAGTCAGAATTGTACAATCACTTCTACTTTTAACAGAGATTTCTAATGGATGTGGGGCGGTGGGGTAGCCTAGTGATTAAAACATTGGCTTGTCATGCTGAAGACTCAGGTTCGATTTCCCATATGGGTACAATGTATAAAGCCCATTTCTGGTGATATTGCTGGAATATTGCTGAAGTGGCATAAAACCAAACTCACTCATTCACTCTTGTTTATGTGGAGAGGGTTTTGTCTGTTTTATTTGCTGCCAGAGATATGAGCTTCATTAATTGCAAGGTCAGGAAATAATTTGGTGTCTGTGTTGAAGAGTGGATAAAATATAGTATTGCTTGTATGAAAATATCAGACTTTGTGAACTTTGAAGACATTTTTGTGGGTTTCTTCCAGAGCAAGATATTGATATGCTACAGGAGAGTGGTGCGGGCATGAAGAGGGGAGACAACTCTGATCAGCGTCACTTTGAATCTGACTGGCCTGTGAAACAAGGCTCGCCCTCAGGTTAGAATTGATTGATTGATTTACACAGTTGTTAGGTTTCTGGAAGATTAATTATGATATTGATACTAATACTTTTGACATTCAGTATTTGAAGCAGAATATGTTTGTGTTTTTATATAGAATGGACTATTCAATAAAACCAGGATTTGTTTTGTACATATGCACATGTCTACAGAGGCATAAATTCTTCTTGGAGTTGATTTAAGTCATAGGCTGTACATGTGTTTATTAACTTTTATATTTTCAAGACTAAGGATATACTTTAAATTGATATCTTTAACTGTGTGTCATATCTTATTTCCGTTTTAAAAATTCATTTACCTGTCAAGACTTGTGAACAATGTATTATTTACACAGTAGTAAGAATCTATGTATATTTATTATGACATGGAAGCTAACATGATTAAAATTTAACATATGTTATATTGGGATTACACTTTCTTAGTAAAGTACAAATTCTAGTACTTTTTTGTGCGGGTTAGGCGGCTGACTTTGTGTGCTGGCGATTAGGTGCCTGACTCTGAGGGTGTGAGTTCGAATCCCGTATGGGGCTCAACTAAAAAAAAGTTCTAGAATTTGTACTTTACTAAGAAAGTGTAATCCCAAATATAACATATGTTACATTTGACCACTTTCTAAATGGCATTGTGTAATCATGATTAAAATTGCATATTGAAGTATAGCCAAGATTTGGTAACCTGTATTTCAATGAAATTGAGGTGCCGTCAATATGCCATTTTGACATTATTGTCAATATTCAATTATCTCTGACGTTAACAAATATATGATGTAATCCAAATTTAATTTTTGGGTTCAAATTTGCCTGTCAGGGATGCCCAGTTGAATATAATACATAAATACCTGTGTGTTTTTTGATAAAATATGTACCTATGGAATATGTAAGGTGTAAAAAGTGATCTGCTTTTAGTTATTTGTTCAGTACAGTTGATTAGTGTGGCTGCTGTGAGCACTATCTCATCTGTATAAATCGGGTTACAGATGTTCAAATGGTTGGATGTGATACTCGCATGGAGCAGACCATCGATCGCATCTTCCTGGAACGACAGGCTCATCATGACATGATTGAGAGTATTGTTGGTGTCCCAGTGTACGACGGTGGTGCAGAGGTTGATGACTGTGACGACTATGGCAGCACAGATGAGGGAGTTAGGTCAAGGCCATCCTCATTTATTCGTGATGGATCTGAGTCGGATATACAGGAAGACTTCACACAGGATCCTCATTTCATTATGGGTAAATAAAAACTGTTAGAAAATAACGAGATGTATAAGGTGACTGAGTGAGTGAGTTAGTTTTACGCCGCACTCAGCAATATTCCAGCTATATGGCGGCGGTCTGTAAATAATCGAGTCTGGACCAGACAATCCAGTGATCAACAGCATGAGCATCGATCTGTGCAATTGGGAACCGATGACATGTGTCAACCAAGTCAGCGAGCCTGACCACCAGATCCCGTCAGTCGCCTCTTACGACAAGCATAGTCGCCTTTTGTGGCAAGCATGGGTTGCTGAAGACCTATTCTACCCCGGATCTTCACGGGGCAGATGTATAAGGAGAAATCAGTAACTATTTTTGGAATTTGGTGAAGGAGTTGGAGAATGATTGTGTTTGGTGCCACATTCAGATGTTACAGCTTTATTACAACAGTCTTGAAATACAGGAGTGGTGAGTGAGCAAGGGAAACCAGTGGTTGACAGTATGAACACACAATAAACCAGGCCACTGATCTCTCATGTTTCAGTGAGTGAGTTTAGTTTTACGCCACACTCAGTGATATTGCTGGGGTAGCTTAGTGGTTAAAGCATTCACTCGTCCCACCGAAGACCCATGTTCAGTTCCCTACATGGGTACAATGTGTGAAGCCAATTTCTGGTGTCTCCCACCATGATATTGTTGGAGTATTGCTAAAAGTGGCATAAAACCAAGCTCACTCTCCAACCAGATCTGGGTTAGAATTGGTCTTCAGTAACCCATGCTTGTCGTAAGAGGCAATTAACAGGATCGGATGGTCAGACTCGCTGACTTGGTTGACACATGTCATCGCATCCCAATTGCATAGGCAGACCACCTCTGTGGTTAGAGTGTCCGCCCAGAGAGCGGAAGGTCACAGGTTCGAACCCCGGCTGCGTCATTCCAAACGACGTTAAAATATGGTACTTGTTCCCCGCCTTGTGTTCCGCATTAATGGGTAAAACAAGGATTTGTCGACTTGGAGTTAAGATAATGTGCCTGAGTGGGGTATTCATTCTTAACTGTGGCAATCTCAGTGAGCTAGCACTATAAAACCAGCTTAAGTCTGGGCTAGTACAAGCAGCCACACATACACACGCATGCAGATTGTCATTTGAGCGAAATACTCTTAAGTATGATGTTAAACCCAATTTCACCTCACCAATTGCGTGGATCGATGCTCATGCTGTTGCTCACTGGATTGTCTGGTCCAGACTTGATTATTTACAGATCACTGCCATATAGCTGTAAGATTGCTGAGTGTGGCATTAAATAACAAACCATCCAGCCAACTGAGAGATGAGATGATGGAGAGGGTGGACAGGTGTGCTGACTTGGCTGATACTGTGACCTAGAATGCCAATGTTGTGAATTGTTGCTCGTGATATTGACCACAGGATTGTCTGTTTTATGTATATATTGGTTACTGCGATATTGCTGAGTGATGCATGAAACAACAAACAAATCACCACAGTAGTTGATGAACAAAGGTTACCTGTTGTGATAACATGCTTGCTCTAGGCATTCCTCCCACTTTGACCAGACCAAAGGGAACAGATTGACCTTATATTCCTCATAGTTCTTGTCTGTGGCTTCTTCCTGTTGTAGACCCATGAAGATCCGGGGTAGAATAGGTCTTCAGCAACCCATGCTTGCCACAAAAGGTGACTATGCTTGTCGTAAGAGGCGACTAATGGGATCGGGTGGTCAGGCTCGCTGACTTGGTTGACACATGTCATCGGTTCCCAATTGCGCAGATTGATGCTCATGCTGTTGATCACTGGATTGTCTGGTCCAGACTCGATTATTTACAGACCGCCGCCATATAGCTGGAATATTGCTGAGTGCGCGTAAAACTAAACTCACTCACTCTTCCTGTTGTAGTTCAATGTCTGAAGATTACAGTGCATGGCATTGTGCAAAAATGGTATATTGTGCCACAGCATGTAGGAAATATCTTCATTAGCAACCTTGCAATTCTTGCCAGAGTTGTAGATTCAGATTTGGCACACTCTCCCACCTAGGGGTTCGTTCTCAAACTGGATGGATACCTGTGCCATATTTTGACCTTTCCTTGTCTCCGTGGATCAGTCAGGCCATAGATCAGTCCCTGTGCTACACAGGATGTGACAGCTTGTCCTGTGTTAGAGATCCTGCAGCAAAAATATTGAGGGACCATTGATACCTATGGGGATATATTTTGCAGTGAAGACTGAATTTCTTTAAAGTTTATTGTATCGAAAAATATTTCATGATCCCTATTTTCATAGGATACACTTCATTCTTGGCTTAAACTTGGTTAATTCTCCAGTGATGCTTCCCTTGAGTTATCTGACTTCAAGTCATTCTAAGTTTACTTCTGTGTGTATGGTAGGGGAGGCCTTATACTGGTATATGTAAGGATCAATACTCGTGATGACACCACTTTGTCGCACCCCTACAGAGCCCCACACCATTGTTTACCAGAGTCATCCCCTGTGGTACCCCAGCAGTTGGCATGGACCATCACTGGTAGTGAAAGTGCCCCCTGGTGGAAGCCAGCAGAGTCAATCATGTCTGTGACTGTGGCTCCTGATAAGTCTTGGGATTGGGAGTTATTTTTAGCACTGCTAAAGATTGGTGTGATCAGAGCCTTGTGTGCCAACTCACTTTCATTCATACTTGAACATTTTCGAAGAACGGGGAAAGAGGGAGAGAGACAAAAAGCTAAGGCGTTGACCCAACTCTACAAGAAACAGGCCAAACTTGTCACTGGTATCAATTATAGTGGCACTCCAACAGACATAAGTTAGTCTGTAGTTTTACAAGTATATGCTTTGGATTTGCAGAGGGCACATTGAACCAGCTTCGAGGTCTGAATGATGGCTTGCAGAGGTACAGAGATGCTCGGGTCCTTAGTCTACGACTAAACCAGGTCAGTGACCACAACTTTCAACAACTTTAGTCCACTTTTACACCCTTATGCTGCAGTTACCACAAACACATGTACTTAACTTACTGTTGCCATGTTACAAACACACGCTCTAGTTGCCAGTTGGCTTTCAAATTCAAAAGTGCCATATTGTTCTTTAAATAGATGTTTGCACACTAGTTCTTGTCTTGCAGACCTATTTAGGATAGTGTTGATATACATGTCAGTGTTGAAGAACTCAGACAGTCTGTTGTATATGTTTGGAATTATTTTATACATTGCTGGAAGGATTTTCTTCAACTTGTAAAGCTTTTTGCAAAATGTTCTGTGTGGAAGAATGATTATTTTATATGGAATGAAATGAACCACATGCTTATAATGATTTGTAGAGAGGCAATGTGACTAAATTTGTTGTAAACTTAATTTAAATGAAGCAATTACAGTAAATACTAAAATATTATGTATTTTGGCCATTGAAAACTTCTTTCACTTCAGACAAGGTGACTTAATTTCTTTGAAATATGACATTACAAGTTTCTGTTTATAATTATGAACATTGAAATTGGCAGAAGAACAGTTAGTTAAAAGTTCTTAGTTATTTTCCCTAATATATTTAGCATTTTGTTTATCTTGGGTTTATGTTTTTCACCAACTGGAGCCAAAAGACATAAGCTGAAACGTGTTTGAAATACTTTAAATTTTGTCTTATTGTCTTTTGGGTCAATGTTTGTAGGTTAGAATAATAAAAAGACACAACTGCATGTGTGGAATACAAAAGTAACTCTTTTAAAACCTAAGCGACGAAATGGCAAATAAATATAATAAATAGCAAATAGTCTCATGCTGCTGCAAACATATAAAGCCTTTTTGACTGAAAAAGTATAATGTCATGAATATTTTTCTTTTAGTGCAGACTGAGCAAACAATAAATGTATCTAAAAATATATTTGTGATCCCTTATCCCCAAGTTCTGGCATAGATAGATACATAGATATAAGTACAGTAAACACCAAAGATAGGTATAGATACAGTAAACAACAAAGGTCTTGCATGTTAAATAGAGTAAATGTTTATTTTGTTCATTACACAAACAATTTTATAACAGGCGAAGAAGAAATTTCTCTATAAACGAAAGTGGAAAGAAATGGAACTGCAACCTAACTTGGTCAAGATGAAAACTTGAACCATTTAGTGTGATATGTGTTGCCTTATGTCTGTCATTTGTAATTATGTAGCCAATCAGAGACTTCATTTGGTTCTGACTAATGACTGTCCAGCTGACTATCAGGGAAATCCTCCCATCTCTCATTTAACAAAAGGCTGGAAGTAACAGGGATGTATTTAGGCTTCAAGACTAAGTGATCATTCCAGGTGAATTTGGGAAAATCTACAAATCATTGAAAATTTGAATTATTTTTAAGATATGTCACTACTACATAGATATGATATTAATAATAACTTTAATTTTTTTAGATACAATGTGGGATATTTTACTGACATTTGCTGCAGACAAATATCGGCCTTTGAGAAGGGTGACTTAAAGATCGTAATGCCATGACAAATCCTAAGTCTATGTTCATGTATGGAGTGCGATCGCTCAGTGGATAGGACCCTAGGTTTAAATAGATCCCTGTGTGTCCAAGATTCTTTACCTTTGATTAGCTCAATTATTTGGCAACCGCTAAACCAGGTTGTATAGTTAAAGGTTTAAGCCAGGTATCTCGGCATGTAGATACGGTTTCCAAACTAGTCGTCAGTGCAAGAAGGTGATAGAACTAGTATGGCGTACAGTCCCTGATAAAGTTGGTTTACGTGTAATGAGCTTGGTTGCCAGAAAATATTGCCACAGGTTCTTTAACAGAAATAGATGTTTCATTTGGGAAGAAACGTGTGTTGATGTCTGACCAGCTGTTGCTTGCTTACATGTGAAGATTGAATGTGCAGAGCTGAGAAGAATCTGATAAGAAACTTAATGGATTATAATGTGGAGGATTCAGGTTTTAGTTTTCTATTGAAAGTGACAATCGTCTGGGGTTGAGTAACATATATTATTGAAGTTTGTGTTAGATTTAAAGATCTTTGACATTATATTTGGGTCATCCTGATGATGGCAATGGATGGAAAGGGTCTAGACTTACTTTCGCCATCACAGGATTGTTAATGTTTTTGTGGCTAATGAGAGTTAAACCATTATTTTGTCTTGGCAACAGGAGAGACTTTATTCAAAGTAGATTAAGATTTTTTCAAAGTAGAATCATTTCCTGATGTAGAAAGTTTCAGAATGTTTGACAATGGTACAAGGATCTGTACATGAAATAAAGAAGTTGCTATCCATATAGTTTTTCTGTATCGAACTTCTTTAGTAAAACAAGCAGTAGCCTTGCTCTAAGGCTGTACTGAAGGCTAAGCCCATGGATGTATAGTAATTCTATCCTTTAAAGAGGCAAGTCTAGATATGTGGACAGTAACAAGGATACCAGTCTGTTAGAAGGTTATGTGTATTTTTTAGAAATTACCATTTAAACTAATAATTATTACCTTAGAGACTTGCGCAGGTCGAAACAAGCACAAGTCTAAACAAGCACAAGGGAAGAACCTTACTAAATTTTACAGTGATGATAGAGGATTATATATCTCTGATCCGTTGGTCTGCATAATGGCTTACTGCTGTACATAATTACTTACCCACCTTAATAAGTACATCAATGGTGTTAATTTCAAAAACATAAATATGTGTGCAGATATAAGTAGAAACGTTGATTTCTGAAACAGAAAGTGGTATGTCAAATTCAAACCCCCATGAAGAGGGTAAGAATTTCAGTTGAAAATTGACCCGGATGAAATGATGAATGTTTTGAACGAAAATATGGCCTAAGCAGGAAAGTGAGGATATGAGAGTATGAGTCATGGCGGCAGTGGTTCAGTTACGTTCTGTGGTGAATGTGTAAAACAGAATGCTAAAATACAGGAAGTGAGCGTTTTTAGTGTCGGAGGGAACAGAGATGGTGGAAATGGAGATTTTTTACACAGGTCTGTGAGCACTCTGACAGACTTGACTGGAGAGATGGTGGTTGGCCGGGAATTCTTGTATCTTGGTGTGAGGTTGCCTTGACTGATATATACTTGGACTTGTCTGTACTGTTCAGAAAATCTGACACTTTCGATCAGAGTGCTTAGTCCTTAAAGACCATACCATTGGCGATTTTAATGTGCTACTTAAAAGAAGTTAAGAACTCCTGATTTGGTGTTCTGTGTATGTCATACCATGATGTGTCATACCGTGATGTCTAATTATAGAAGTATGGAAGCACTGGGTGCTCCTTAATGTATTTTGAGTAGTATACTATAGTAAGAGTTGACCAGGATGACTTGAACCTGTTGATGTGGTTTGGCGTTAACCTACCTGTTTGTTTTCTTAATTACTCATGTTTGGGAATAAAAACTAAGGTGCTTCTTCAAGAACTTGGCATCAGGCAGACTTGCTGGTACATAAATGTGGAGTCTTGGTTTAGAGATACTGAAAGGTCACAGGGTAGGTTATCCTAAATGCGTTGGAAGATGTTGGATAAGATAGATGAATTTTTAAATGAGCTTCTCTGACAGGTATTACATAACTGTGGAATATGTGAATATATAGATGTTCTGTAAGTGTTACTGATGGTTGTAACTAGAAGTAGGTCTGAGGTTGACCTTGTGTGGAAGTGGGTTGATGTGGGGGGAGGATGGGTGTCGTCCAGGACGTTGCTGCCAGGGAGATGCTTCCTAGGTTGTGGACAGGGGTTGTGGGAGGCACTGTGCATGTACCACACATGGAATGGGGTGGGGGTAGGGTCCATGGGGTCCAGGGAGCAGTGGGGTAGTGCTGAAGGTGGAGAGAGGGGGGGGGGGTTGAGGGACAAGGGAGGGAGGAAGGTGGTGGACTTGATAAGTGAGATGATTTGTTGTGTGTGTGTGTGTGCGTGCATGCATGCGCACGGACGGTATTATTTTGATGTGTGTTGTGTGTCTGTGTGTGTCTCTCTCCCTCTGTGTGTTGTTTGTCTTTCTCTCTCTCTCTCTCTCTCTCCCTCTGTGTTGTGTTTGTCTTTCTCTCTCTCTATTTCTCTCTCTCTCTCTCTGTGTTGTGTGACTCTCTTTTTCTCCCTCTGTTGTGTTGTCTGTATGTGTGTGTGTTTGTTGTTTGGTGTGTGTGTTTGTTGTTTGGTGTGTGTTTCTCTGTGTTGTGTTGGTGTATCTGTGTCTGTGTGTGTCTCTCTCCCTCTGTGTGTTGTGTTGTGTTGTGTGTGTGCCTGTCTCTGTGTGTGTTGGTGTATCTGTGTCTGTGTGTATGTTTGTGGTTAAGGAGGGTGGGGATGAGAGGGCGGGAATGTTTGTGTCTCTGATGTGTGTGTTTGCGGATGTGTATGTATTGGGTGTGTTTGTTGGAAGATGTATGTATGTCTAGTTGGGTCTGGCAGGATGTGGATGTACAGATATGTCTATGTGTATGTTTTCACATTTACATGAGTTTGAAGAATTATGGCAAAATTGCAAGTGGTGGATGTTTTTGGGGCTGCATTGTAGAGACATGTAGATGGTGATTATAGGAGGGTGTTTATTGGGAGGGTACATACCATGTCAGGATTGCTGATGTGCAGGAAACATTAGCGATACATTGAGAACAGGATATTCACAATATCTTCCAACAAACACACCCAGTACATAAACATCAGCAAACACACACATCAAAGGTAGTTACAGGAAACTAGGTGTTGGGTAGGCTGGACAATAGGTAGTTACAGGTAGTTACAGGAAACTAGGTGTTGGGTAGGCTGGACAATAGGTAGTTACAGGAAACTAGGTGTTGGGTAGGCTGGACAATAGGTAGTTACAGGAAACTAGGTGTTGGGTAGGCTGGACAATAGGTAGTTACAGGAAACTAGGTGTTGGGTAGGCTGGACAATAGGTAGTTACAGGAAACTAGGTGTTGGGTAAGCTGGACAATAGGTAGTTACAGGAAACTA